CCGAGGCAACGGCGAAGCCCTCCATGAAGCCGAAGCCGGTGCGCTTGGAGCGGGCGGCGCCGCTGCCGAAGGAGAGCCATGTGGGGAACTGGATGTTGAGTCTCTGGATGGCGGCGATGGCGTCCTGGCCGGCGGGTGTGGAGGAGGCGTGGCGGGCGGCGACTGCGCCGAGACCGATGAAGAGAGCGGCGGCGGCAGCTTGGGATGCGACGCGGGCTGCTGAGCCGGAGCCGGAGGTTTTCTTCTCGGGGGTGGCCTTGGGCTGGAGGCGGACGGCCTTGGGAGCGGAGCGCTTGTTCACGCCCTTGAGCTTGCCGACCTTGAAGTCGGCCATGATTTCGTAGGCATCTTCGGAGTGGCCTGCATTGTCGAAGGCTTCTGAGGCATCGACGCCGGCGGCCTCAACGAGGACATCTGCGCCACCGGGGTGGTCGTGGAGGTACTTTGAGACATCGTAGACTGTTGTTTGGTGGGTTAGTTTGGTGATCAGTTGGCAAATTTGGGGGTTGTAGTTTACGGGGTATTGAACTTACCTTCACCGTGGATGACCATCCAGCAGTCGTTCGCTTCTCTGTGCGCGGCAACCTCCTTGGCCGTGAACTCGGGGCCTACTGTTGACTCGGTAGCCGCCATTGTGAATGTGTATATGTGAGTATCTCTGAGAGATGGTCGAAGATGGGAAAGGGGGCGGGGTGAGAAGTAGTAGTTTCACTCTGTTGCAGAGTCGTGTCGCGCTAATGATATAAAAGAGAATTTCACTATCTTATCTAAGAAATGGGAAAGATCGATGTCGATCGTGATGTGTGGACAAGGTTACAATGAACAGGACCCCTTTTACTTCAGAGGGCCGGGCTTCGGAACGGGGGGGAAGTGCAGCGTTCCTATTTATCGAAAGATGGCGAGACCATTGCGACATTTGCCAGCGGAATAGATGCCTAGGTATATCCACAATTTACAAGAGGAAATCCAGAATCGTCGTCACTCGTCAGAAGATACACCTGACTTTGCATTGGATGAGAATGAGACCGAAAAAAACAAAAAGGAAACAAGGGTAATGTCCGAAGCGCAAAGATGCCGAGGCACAGAGATAAAGTGTGGGCATCATCGGGGACCCTGCGCGCGTTGTTCTGCGCGATAAAGTCTATGGTGCCAGGGTACGAAGTTATGGAGCTTTCTGTTAGGAAGCTCCAAAACGTTCCCAAAGCTTGGGACCATTAGAAGCTAGGATTGGGATCCATTTGGAATGAGCAGAAGAGATGAATCTGGAAAGATTCGGCCGGCGGTCGGCGGGTGGGGCGCGCGACTGACAAAGCGAAGGAACGGGATTGGACGCCGGGACCCGGACCCACTTACGGCGATGTGCCTCGGCGGTCCCGACATGATGAGCGGGTTGATGACTTGATTGACGTTTATGCCTTGATTTCAGAAAAATGCACGAGTCGGTTCCCTTCTTTACCATTATCTCTGCAGCTACTCAGCGCCTCCATATGATGCATTCTTACGTGCTAGGAGGGCAGAATTCTTCAAGTGTTAGCTTGCGAGAACGAGGGAGGTAGAAAAAAAAGTGCGATCGTCATCGCAAATCAGCCAAGCCTAAAAGTAAATAGAGATGAACTAGGACAAGAAAGTGTAAAGCCAATACCAACACAAACACGGATAGGGATACTACATTGTAGACTACCAGAAGGCCAAGAGATGAGCCGCGGCTCTGTATTCCTAGTGTAGGTACTAGCACTAAGGTAGCATGCTGGGAGATTCGTTCCTGCACTGGAAAACCGTACCCTCAAGGTTGTCATCGAAGAAATCAGAGCATAGCAGGTGCGGTAGCTAACGGTTCGGTCTCAGGGGCCGAGTGGCAGAACTGACGAAAATAACAAAAGACCCACAACCGGACGGTATCCGGAAGAAGACGGCCGATGATTGGATGCATCATACCATTTACGACCAAAAGCTGGTGGGTGCGTGGTCCAATGAAAACAGACAGAGATTACGTAGGTGGCACAAAACGAGCCGAGGCCACGGACTTCGGGACTTGAGCGACGACAAAACGGCGACGGAACCACTTAAACCCTCTGTACGTACCTGGTATCAGCCACGATGGACCCCCACTCTGCCCCCCTTGCGCTGCAAAATTCTGCAGTTTTCCTCTTCTCCATTTCGTCTCCCCCTCTGTCAATGTGGCCTCCCTTTCGACTCCCGACCTTCGAGAAACACCATTTTCGAGCTTATCAAATCATCCAATGCACCAAATTTCAAAGCCAAGCACCCACCCCTGGTCCTTTCGCCTCGGCACCTGGACGCCTCTAGCGCAGATCACCCTTGTTTAGCCCTATCGCGGCGCATCAAACGTGCTCCAAATCTCCGATTTTCTCTTGTGTCCATCCTCCTTCCGCGATGGTTCAGATTTCCGCTGTCATCATGCCAGAACCGCGGCTCTTCTCCGTCCGCACCCACATCTGTTTTTGACTCTGCACTTGCAGTCTGGAACCTACGAGTCTGTTGCTTGTTTTCGCCGTATTCCACTCTTCCATGCCGGCCACGGAGCCGACACTCGAATGGATTCGTCTCACCCTCACGGCCCGCTGTTTCTTCGGACTTGAGCGCCGCCCATGAAGTCATGGCCCTTGGGTCAAGGGGACCTTGAGATGAACCTCGGCAGGCCACTTTTTTCCCCCTTCGCTCGTCACTCATCGGCCAGCTGTTCGGTCTGTGTGTCTGTTGTGTGTTCCCACCAAAAGAATTGACATTGCCTGGGATCGGATTGGATAAGCTGCGCCATATTGTGATGTTCCATGGGTACGTACTGTTTTGATTGCGATCTCTTTTTTTCTCTTATATATCGTCAACGGCTTGCATCCCCCTCCATCTAGCATAGCAGTTTTTGGATTGGAAATCTTGTCTTATCTACTTTACTACTACTACTTCATACATCCTGAATACAATTATTTGGACACCTCCAGATTCGTGCGCTCCTCCGACTCCATCCACACATCACATCCTACACCATGTCATCACAACGCTTCCACCTGTTGGGTGAAGACCCTTCAGTCACAACAGAGTTCGAGATTCCTGCCTCAACAAACGAGGAGGGTCTCCAGCATCTCGCTGCCTCTCATTTTGCCGTCGTCGACCACAAGGGTAAGCTCAACATCCTGCCATACCACAGCTCCTTGACAGTAAACTAACACAACTACAAGGCGTTGGCTTCGTCTCCGGAGATGAGGCTCTGACAACAGTCGCCGATGTCCTTGCTGCCGAGGGCCCCGTCGCCATCACCATTGACGGCCACCCCGTCCGCGAAGTCCCCGGCCCTTCTGGTCTGCCCTTCATCGGCAACTACTTCGAGGTCTACCCTGACCATCTCGGTAACCATCAGCGCCTTTTTGAGAAGTACGGCCCCATCTTCAAGACCACCAACATGGGTTCCGTTATCTACCACACCAATGACCCGGCCATCGCCAACATCTTCTTCTCCGAGAGCGACTTCTTCACAAAGAACATTATCCCCGGTCACCCGCTGTACCCTATCAAGAACAAGGAGTCCGGAGTCTTCCTTGGCGACACGGATACCCCCGAGTGGAAGGAGGTTCACAAGTTCCTCCCGCCCGCCTTCGGCCCCAAGGCCGTCCGTCACTACGCCCCGACCATGCAGGCTACCATTGAGGACTCCTTCAAGGTTTTTGACGAGCTCGACGAGAAGGAGGAGGCCTGGAACGTGTACCCCTACATGCTCAAGTTGGGCTCCCAGGCCGTCGGTAAGCTCGTCCTCGGCATGGACTTTAAGCACTTCACCGCCGTCGACGCCCCGCCCCACGAGATGGTCATCCGCATTGCTCAGTCCCTCGAGCTCAACAAGAAGATCACCTCCATGGGTAGCTGGTACGCCTCCCTGCCCTTCGGCGACCCCCAGCGCCTCCGCGACGCCCGCGGCCGCATCGTCGAGATGATGAACGAGTCCATCAACAACGCCTCCAAGGGCGTCGAGAACCTCGAGCTGCAGGAGGCCGCTCTCCAGGCCGACAACATGGTCGACTACGTCCTCCGCGCCAGCGACAGCAAGGGCAACAAGCTTCCCAAGGAGCGCATCATGGAGCCCCTCGTCGTCGCCACCGGCGCCGGCTTCACTACCACCTCCTCCCTCCTCTCCTGGCTCCTCTACGGCATCGTTGCCTACCCTGGCATGCAGGAGCGCCTCCTCCAGGAGCTCATCGACAACGGTTTTGACGAAAACACCCAAATCACCGCCGACCTCACCCAGAAGCTTACCTTCCTCGACAAGTACATCAAGGAGACTCAGCGTCGCCACAACCCCTCCTACCAGCCCGCCCGCACCTCAAAGGTGGACATGATCCTCCCCGGCGGCTACAAGCTGCCCAAGGATTCCATCTGCATCCCCGCCATCCACCACATCCACAACAACCATCTTGTCTGGGACAACCCGGCCCGCTTCGACCCGGACCGCTGGGACTCAGACAAGGTCAAGAACCGGCCTAATGCCTCGTACATCCCCTTCGCCACCGGCCCCCGTATGTGCATTGGCTTCAACTTTGCCCTGCAGGAGGTTAAGGTCTTCCTCCCCAAGCTCATCTACCGCTACAAGTTCAGCCTGGCGCAGGAGGGCCCCGTGGAGTACGATCCCATGTTCCAGCTCATCCGCCCGCACAACCTGTACGTCCGCGCCGAGAGGCGTGTCAAGTGGCCTCCTAGGTCTGAGGCTTAGAATGGTTCACGAGTTGTGTTGAAAGTGTTAGGAATCGGTTTCGGTATATAGAGTTCGTTTTTTGTACCATCATTGTCAGTGTATACCCTGGAGCATTGCATGGCGCAAGATATTTGGAGATTTTCGGGTAGATCTTATGATATAGACATAGAGCTGGATATGAATCTAGACTAATCACATGTTCTTTTTTGAATCACTCTCCTAAATTCATTGGTACTGACTGATCCTAGCTGCTCCTAGCTCTATTTTTCCCAGGCATATTCGTGCTGAATTCAGTCTTTTACTCAAACTGTTGCGCCCCAAACTGCCCAGTCAAATCAACCTGCAGCAACCTCTTCTCCTCAATCTCCCCCTTCCGCTCCACCAACTCCTCGACGTCCCAATTTGTAGCGACAAACCTCCCATTCAGGAACCGCGCGTTCTCCGAACAAAGCCAGACGGCCGTTCCGCCGACGAGCGCGGGGGTGTCGTGCGCAAAGGGACGGAACCGGTCCATGGTCATGTCGGTGTGGACCATACCCGGGTGCACCGAGACGGTGGTGATGTTGTCCGGGTGCTCGGCGGCGACGTGGGCGTTGAGCTGCTGCGTCGCGAGCTTGGCGATGATGTAGGAGCTCATGGTGGGCACGACCCAGTGGGTTATCGTGGTGATGTTGATGATGTGGGCGTGGCTGGTTGAGGGGAGGGATTTGAGGAAGTGGAAGGTTGGGTAGAAGGTTCCGCTGATGTTGGTGGTCTAGTGTTATTTCGAAGTTGTTAGCGGGGAAGTCATGTTCGTATTATCGAGGACGGGGAGGAAACTTGTGGAGTTTCTACTTACCAAGTCTTCCATCCAGAGTTTCGGGTCGCTGTTTGTGATGAGCTCGAGAGATTTCTGCACGGCGGCGTTGTTGACCAGGACGTCTGCGTGGCCGTACGTCGCGTTGATTTTCTCGAAGAGGACCTTGACGCCGGCTTCGTCTGTCATGTCGACGGGGTAGACGAGTGTTTCGACATTGGCATTAAGCTCCTTGACCTCTGCCGCGACGGCGGTAAGCTTCTTCTCGTCCCGGGCCACGAGAACGATAGCCTTTGCTCCGGCTCTAGCAAACGCTGGCACAATTCCCTAGAAGCTAGTACGTCGAAGCTTCATTGAAAGAGGAAGAGACAACTTACTCTACCACCGATACCACGGCTCGCGCCGGTGATTACAACAACCTTACCGGCGAGGGAGAGCTCGGGGTTCTCTGGTTTGATGGCTGGGTATTCATCTCTGTAGACCTTCTTTGTGAATTGAAGGGCTTTGACGTAGAAGTCTGGTGGCATAGAGTCGGACGCCATTTTGACGCGTTTGGACTTGTAGATGAAGTTGTTGATGAATGAGCCGGTTAAGTATAGATCTATCACTAAAGAAAAATGTAGTCCTCCGGTGGCAGACACAGAGCTTTTATCGGCAGAAAACAATCTTGCCCTGGCTAACTGCATGTACGTTGAACCCAAGCTATCCCATCGGTTCATCAAAGCTCATGCGGGGATCATCTTAGCCGATTCTCACGGTCGCCCACATGTAAGCACTTGGCAGGTTGAGAGCCCGCGCGACGTGAGATTTGGGTTAAGTCCATCGCATTTCCGCCAATAGCTAGTGCTAACGTAGTCTCTACTTTATCCAGGGCATTGGCGTCCGCTTACGACATGCATACCTCTCTGACCGTGACGACCGAAAGATGCATAGCGCTGACCACAAGAAGGAAGCCAGACAAAGGGTCTCAGACTTCAAATCTCACTCGGATAACCCCTGCCAACCCATGGCAACCCCATCATCACAGGACAAAAAGCGCTAAGCATCATCCTCAACTCCAACCATCTTGCACGACTCCCTCCACAACCGCGCAGCTTTCTCCTCATCGTAAGCCCACGAGGCATACCCAGGATCCGTCGTCGCAGGCGTGAATCCACCGACACCAGGTCCGCCCTCGGCGCAGTCGTTGAGGTATTTCCCGCCCTTGCCTTCCCACTCTTTACTCACGGCGGCGTAGACGGTGGTAGCGGCCCCTTGCTCCGGGTTCTTGAGCGTGCTCATGAGCTTGTTGAACGTCTCCTCTCCCATACTGGCCTTGATCGCGTCCACGTCGACGTTTTGCGACGCTGCCATGCTGGTCAGGATGGCGCCCGGGTGCAGCGAGGTGGAGTGTAAGTTCCGCGAGGCCCCGTAGCGCCGCTCAATCTCGTTGGAGAAGTAAATGTTGGCCGTCTTGGATTGGCCGTACGCCGTGTACGGCTCATACGACCCCTCCTCGTCAAAGTTGACATCCTCGAAGCGGATATCGCTGGCGCGGTGGGCCATGGACGACACGACGACGACGCGGGACGCAAAATTCGGCGTCGCGGATGCGAGAAGGGCGGGCTTCAGGAGTTGGAAGAGAAGGAAGTGGCCCAGGTGGTTCGTGGCGAACTGCGATTCGAAGCCGTCTTTAGTTATAGTCTTTGTCTGGGCCATGATGCCTGCGTTGTTGACGAGGATGTTGAGCTTGCCGTTGCTCTTGGACAGGAAGTCCTCCGCGCCTTTGCGGACCGAGGAGAAGTCGTCGAGGGACATTTCCACGAAGTCTAGAGACCCGGGCGTCTCGCCCTTGATGGAGGCGGCGATGTCTGCGATTGCCTTTTCACCCTTTTCGCGGCTGCGGACGCCGAGGTAGATGGTGGCGCCGGTTTGGTAGAGCGCGCGCGCGGTTTCGAGGCCGATGCCTTGGTTTGCGCCGGTAATGAGGATGGTCTTACCGGTGAGTTTGCCGATGAGGCCTTCGTCTTGGATGATTTGGAGGGCTGTTGGGCGAGCGTCGCCTGGTCCCTTGGGGGTCTGGAAGGCTTCGGCGTACTTAGACATTGTGGAAGTTTTGTAGAAGGTTTCGTCCCTTAGTTATGAATGGGAGATCAAGGGTGAGGAACGAGGGGTTGGTCTACTTTCAGAGCTAGAAGACATTCACGAGGTTGAAGTCGTATATTTATGTAACCCGTCATGAATATCATTAGACCGGTGTTTCCAAAAGGTTCCCCTCCTCGTCCGCTGTCGTTATCGTAACTTTCGCATTCTCATACCGAACCCGACGAAGCTGGCGACTTACACGCGAGGTCTGTCGCGTGTCGACTGTACCCCCTGGGAAACTCAATTCAACTCCGCCAACCACAACATGCAGCTATGGGGACAGTGCTACAAATCCAAACGGCGCGTCGCCGGCGCCTGTGCTTTCTAGAGTTGGCGCTAGCACTCGCGGACCTCGCGGCACAAGTTTTAACATCACAGGAAGCCGTCGATGTTCGAATGCGGAGATTGAACCGGCGGAGTTTCGGGAGCGGAGTGGGACTCGGGAGCTGGAGGAACCCGGGACTCGGTTTCCACACACGTCTCAAAGTGCTCGAACTCCCGCACTTATGTAACCGCAAAGTCACATGTAGATAAGTTGGCAAATGTAGCTTGAGTCTTTAGAAATCAATGAGGCAGTTTGGTCATTCGTACATGTATAAAGAGTAGATATTAACATTTTGTCACATAAAGATGCCCGACAGCGCGGCATTGGCGCTTTGCCTCCTGCAACCATGCATAAGTACTTCATTACTTCATGTTCAAATCAGTGGAAGCTCTACGAATCTTCTGTTGCACTTCCGCCCCCTTGGGAGTATCCCAGCCTTCTGAAACCCCGTGTATGATAGCCTCTTCACTGTCGGTTCTCGATACATTCTCCATACTCGTCTCGTCTCCCCTCCCTCTCCCGCCTGATGTGACGGTAGCATTATATTCGGTATGTCGGCTCGGCAGACTCTGTAGAGGATGTGAAGATCGCGTTCCATTTCCCTGTCCTTCCTTGCCATTGCTCCCCAGAGGATATTTTGTTTTGCATGAAGAGAAGCCCAATAGTGCGGGAAAGAACGTCTTGAAGAACGTCTTGAGTGCAGAGGAGCAGCCGCAGAAGATGGCGACGTAGAGCTCCACGGCGTACCAGATAAGCGAGCTGGCGAATTGTCGGTATATCTCGGGTTCGTTTGCCAGTTGTCGGACATAGTAGAAGCGCACGCAGCCAGCTGTAAACACCGGTCAGTTGCTTGATCTTTTGCAGGATTCAATCCGTTGGATGACTGTAATATTGACGTTCAACTCACCTGCAACGCAAACCACTCCCAGCGCAAATACTGCCGATACCGCCCACTTTTGCCGCTATTATTCCATGTTAGCAAACGCGAGGAACTTTCGAGGTACGTCCAAAGTGAAGGTACCTGCGGTAGTTGCAAGCCCCAAATCATGGGAATCGGACAGATCCAAAGACAAATGTCTGTAACAATGACAATCACACCGGCGGCGTCCCAGAATGCCTGCTGCACCGCAGCCGGCATGCAGTATTTCGCATAGATTTCGTGACTCCCCTTAGATGTCCAGAATACCTCGGCAGGGTTACATTCGATGGCGGACATGACGAAGTGACATATTCCCAAGCCAATCACTGCCGCCATGAGTCCATACACCGTCCATCGCATCTTTGGTCGGTTATCGAGGCGCAGATAAAATAACAAAAGACCGACTTTGACGAGCACGTTGCCGACGGCGAAGAACAATCGGGAGATATAGAGCGACTTTGCACAGGGGAGCACGGTTAGTGAGTCCTTGTTGATGTTTGGAATCTTGCGGGGAGACTCAGAAAACAAACATACCAGCAACATTGGCTCCCACTCATTCGACGGTATTTCGGCTCCTGTCTCTGGTTAGCAAAAGAAACCTGGGCCTTGTATTGTCTGGCTCACTGATTCTCCCTAGGCCGTGTCTCACGGAATTCATGACACAAACAGACTGCAGGATTGTGGCGATCTATCTCGCACCCGTCAAATAAAGTTCGATGCATTTGAAAGAGTAAGTATGATACTCACGGTTCCGGCAATCATCATAACTATAAAATCGTGTTGGTCAGCAAGAACGCCATGACTAAGAAGCTGTTCCAATGGGACGTACAGTCGTCAGCTCCAATTGACTTCGTAATGGAGAACCTCGTGTATAACCTGACGCCCATGACGAAGACTATGACGATGATCAATGACCCATTGACCCCGAACGCTCTTTGTTGGGCCGTGTTGAAGTCCGATATCGATGGGCTGTCATCCTCTTGGCGGCTAGACAAGACACGAAAGAGGTCTTCCATGGCTGATCGTGTCGAAACAGTCGACGAACTCGGGTCCGAGTCGAGGACAGACCATCTCGCTGGGTAAAAGGACACGAGTGGCGGGGTGAGTCTGGGATAAAAGCATCCTCTGCTCCCATCCATCACACTCCCATCGTCCTTGCCGGTGCAGACCGGTTTCCTGGTTGGACTCGGTTGGTGGCTTGCGCTCGGACAGCAGCCAGGGTAATGAATGGCGAGTGCTGCAATGTCTTCCAGGAACAGAACTTGATCGTTGTCACGTTATGCTATTCATTGCGAGTGTGTGTGGGAATTGACAAGGCCCAGAGTGAAAGGGGAGTCTTTTACGAGTCATATAGGCTGCTTATCGTGGGACGTGATCGCAAGTGCTAGTGATGTGGATCAGAATTATCTGCTTCGCGTGGAGCACGGCAGTTAGACAGTAAAACACTGTTGAGTAACCTGTCTCCCTAAACCGTCCTGATCTTTCAAATTTTGCCGTAGCTTGCTGTTACAAGCTTTGAGCCAGATGGATTTCCTCTTGGCCAATGGCTTTCCTTTCTCTTTTTCTACTGAGTTTCGAACTAGTGAGCATACGGAGTATTATGACATTTGGTCTCTCAGCGACAATTTTTGCACCTCCATCTTCTTCAAACGCCAAGTCTGCCTTGTGGTTGGATATGTCAGATTAAAACCTGATCAGGCGGGGTTTGGATCCTCTCGATGCAACGCTGTACGGTAAAATCACTTTCGATGTCCGCGCGGAAGACTGCCGTCCATATTTGGTGTCACATTCCGTCCTCAGAGTTCCTGAATGCAGAAAATCTCCCGCTGTCATGACTCTGCCTGACATCCAATTCAATTTGCGCTGATGTAACACGCCATGCGGGATGCCGGAAAGACGCTGAATCGCTCGCAGAACCAGTAGTTTTAAACGTGGTGACGCCATGGGAGTGATTGAGTACTCTGTGGATCAGTCACGGTATCCGTAGGATCCCCATGCCTTGAGCGGCGCAGCAGTGCAGTGAAATATTCAACTGATAACTCCAGGTTAGCGGGACTCTGGTTCATGGATCGCGCTCAGACCATAAGTTCGACCTGTAAACTTTGGTGGATATTCATCATGCGGGGAGGGCTAGACGGTCAGCGGGGAACACCCCGATGCCGCTGACTACACGG